GGCTACTTGGACGGCTGAGGCAGAAGGATCACTTGAGCCCAGCAGGTCGAGGCTGTGGTGGCCAGGAGCGTGCCACTGCCCTCCAATCTTGGTGACAGAGTGAGACTCCAACTCAAACCTCCCTTCAAAAATATATAGGAGGGGGTTTGGCTATGTTGTCCAGGCTGGTCTCAAACTCCTGGCCTCAAGTGATCCTCCTGCCTCAGCCTCCTAAGCACCTGGGATTACAGGCATGAGCCACCATACCCTGTATATAACTTTAATATAGTATATGTAATACCTATGGTAACCACAAAGTAAATAGTGACAGAAAGGCACCGGATCCTAAAATAGACTAAGTGAGGACCAGTGGAAGGCCGAAACTGCACCTGTATGTAGAACACATTTATATATTTAATCCTGACTTGTACCTCACATCTTTAAAATAAGAAAAGCCCGGGTACAGTGACTCACGCCTGTCATCCCAGTACTTTGGGAGGCAGAGGTGAGAGGATTGCCTGAGCTCGGGGGTTCGAGACCAGCCTGGGCAACTTGGTGAGACCTCGTCTCCACGGTAAATCCAAAAACAAGCCAGGCGTGGTAGCATGTGCCTGTAGTTCCAGCTACTTGGAAGGCTGAGGCAGAAGAATCCTCTGAATCCAGCAAATCGAGGCTGTGGTGGCTGTGAGCGTGCCACTGCACTCCAGCCTGGGTGACAGAATGAGGCTTTGACTTAAAAAAAAAAAAGAATAGATAGAGCAAAAACTGGAACTGAGAACTGGATAGTGCCACAATAATAGTTGGAGATGTCAATATTCCACTCTCAACAATGAATAGAACAGCCAGATGGAAGAGGAGCAAGGAAACAAAAGACTTGGGCAGCACAACGAAACAACCAGATCTAACAGACGCACCCAACAACAGCAGCACACACATTCTCCTAAGTGCATGTTGGCTATCCTCCAGGGTAGACCGACCATTTGGTAGGCCACAGATTAAGTCTCAGGAGATTTTAAAAGACAGAAATTATATAAAGTAGCTTCTCCGATCATAATGGAATGAGGTTAGAAATGAATATCAGAGGGAGCCAGGCCCGGATTGCCTGCGCCCAGGGGTTCAAAACCAGCTTGGGCAACTTGGCAAGACTTCATCTCTACAATAAATCAAAAAATTAGCTTGGCGTGGTGGCATGCATCTATAGTTCCAGCTACTAGAGAGGCTGAGGTGGAAGGATTGCCTGAGGCCAGCAAGTCAAGGCTGTGGTAGCTGTGGGCATGCCACTGCACTCCAGCCTGGGTGACGGAGAGAGACTCCGACTCAAAAAAAGAAAAAAAGTCAATACCAGAGGAGGGAAAACTGGAAAATTCACAAATTTGTGGAAATTAAAAATCCAACAACACACTCTTAAGCCTCAGCCTCGATGGATCAAAGAAGAAATCACAAGGGAAATTAGAAAATACTGAGAAATAAATGAAAACAAAAACACAACACACCAAAACTCAGGGTACATGTGAAAGCAATGCTCAGGGGAAATTTTGTGGCTATAAATGTTTCAAAATCATAAAAACAGAAGATTGCCAGGGGCTGGGAGGGAATGGGAGGAGGGAAAGGGAAATTGTTTTATGGATATAGAGTTTCGGTTTTGCAAGAGGACAAGAGTCCTGGAGATAGCTGGTGGTGACAGCTGTGTAACAGTGTGACCGTACTTCACACCCCCTCGGGTCACCACTTCAGTTCAGCTCACCGTATGCTTTAATAATGGTCAAAATGCCAAATTTCATGTTTTGCGCATCTTACCATAATTTATTTATTTTATTTTTATTTTTTTGAGTTGGAGTCTTACTCAGTCCCCCAGACTGGAGTGCAGTGGCCGCTCCCAGCCACCACAGCCTCACCTGCTGGGCTCTGGCGATCCTTCCGCCTCAGCCTTCCAAGTAGCCAGAATTACAGGCATGCACTACCACACCCGGCTGATTTTGATTTATTGTAGAGATGAGGTCTCGCTGCCCAGGCGGGTCTCGAACCCGTGGGCTCAGGCAATCCACTCACCTCAGCCTCCCAAAGGCGCGGGATTACAGGCTGAGCCACCGAGCCCAGCTTACCATAATTTAAAAAATGGAAAAAGATAAGTTAACCTCTGTGCTGCAGTGTGCATAGCTGTAAAATGGGAATAATTATAGAACCCACGTCATCAGCAGCATGTGGATTTATTCAGTGTAAAGTGCTTAGCATCGTCAGTACTTTCAAAGTTCACAATTAATACGATCTCAATCCTGTCCTCTTGACTCTATGGCCGAGTGTATGACCTCCTGGAAAGGCCATGTCAGGAGCCCGCGTCAGAGGTACTCTGCGGATATGGAGCCCTGGTTTGGGGCTGCCCTGCTCCATCACCCTCCCTGCCCTCCACATCGGCAGCAGCCCCAAGGCCAGTGCAGGGGCTCGTAACTACCCATGGCCACCCTTGCTCTCCAAAACACCCCATCCCTGGCACATGGATATTCCCACAGTAATAGTTGGAGACGTCAATGTTCCACTCTCAGTCATGGATAGAACAGATGGAAGATGAGCAAGGAAGGTATTTGAGCAACACAACAAAAGGAAGTGGCGGGGAAGAGAGCAGATGCTTAGGTGCCTGGCACCAGAACAGGAAAAAGAGACGTCAGCACCCTGATCATAATCCTATCCTTAACCCTAACTCTGATCCTGACGCTGAGCGCTGGTCCTCTTGTGTGCTTCCTGCACGGTCCAGTTGTTTGTTGGTGAAAAGATGCCAATGCTGATAGCTACAAAGAATCCTCCTGCTGCCAGTGAGTTATGCGAAATCAGCCCAGAGGACTGGGAATGGGATCAGAGAGGAGGCCTATTTGCCTGCCTTCAACCTGGCTTAACAGATACTATTTATTTGTCCTATGTAGGCTCATTGCTGCTGCGTTGCTTTTCAAGGTTGAGGTTTGGTTCATCACTGACTTTCCTGGTTAAGAGAACCAGGTAGAATTGTTAGCAGATCCTGCCATTTAAAAAGATGTCTCCTGGCTGGGCTTGGTGGCTCAACCTGTAATCCCAGCAATTTTGGGGGCCGAGGCAAGTGGATTGCCTGAACCCACAGGTTTGAGACCAGCCTTGGCAACTTGGCGAGAACTTGTTGTCTCTATAGGAAATAAAAAATTAGCTGGGCATGGTAGCGCACTTCGATAGTTCCAGCTACTTGGAAGGCTGAGGCGGAAGGATCGCTGGAGCCCGGGAGGTCGTCGCTAGGGTGGCCATGAGCATACCACTGCACTCCAGCCTGGGCGACACAGAGTGAGATTCCAACTCAAAACAAAAAATAAAAATAAAAAGATGTCTTTTAGCCAGGCATGGTGGCTCATGCTATAATCCCAGCACTTTGGGAGGCGGAGGCGAGAGGATTGCCTGAGCCCAAGGGTTCGAGACCAGCCTGGGCAACTTGGCAAGACCTCATCTCTACAATAAATAAAAAAATTAGCTGGGTGGTGTATGCCTGTGGTTCCAGCTACTTGGAAGGCTGAGGCAGAAGGATCGCTGGAGTCCAGCAGATTGATGCTGCAGTGGCTGTGAGCATGCCACTGCACCCCAGCCTGGGCGACAGAATGAGACTCTAACTCTAAATAAATGCATTAAATGGGCTGTACACAGAGCCAGTTCGGTGCAGTGGGAAGAGAAGGCTGGGATTCAAAACCCTGGGTTCTAGGCTGGCCTCCTTCTTGTGAGGCTGAGATTTACTCTGTCTCTCCAGGCCTCAGTTTCCCCATCTAGGCGGAGCGGTGCTAGGAGTTGCACCTGATCTCCAGGACACGCTTGGACACGCGATCTACTACCAGGTTCCCACGGCCTCTTTCACCAGGAAGTCTCGGCATGGCGTCAGCCCGTCTTCAACCCCTGTCCAGTCATGGCTAATCTCCCCTCTCAGCACCAACAGCAGCCAGCATGAATTACTCATATCTTTTGTTTCCGTTGTATTTATGTGTACAGTTCCCTTGTATAAAGAAGAGTACTGATTTTTCTATTTGTAGCTCAGGAGTTAGATCTCTCTTGAAATTTTGTTTGCTTAAGTTTTTTTTAAAAAAGCTACTCGATTCGAAGAGAAATAGTACTAGGGCAGGTGGTGGTGAACTACCGATTTAAATTTGGGAGACCCTGGCCAACGCACAAAGCCCATTCCAATTCTGCCACCTCTGGATCGCGCTTCCGCATTTTCCAGATCTCCCTCGGCCTCTGCCCGCCTCCCTCCAGTCCCGGGGGCCGCGAGACTGGGCCCACCTACGAGCCCCGCCCCCGCCGCGCACGGCCCGCAAGCCC